AATAGTACCGTATCACGAGACAGTTTTGGTTTTCATTGCATTGGAACCGGGACTTTACACGACACTTGTCGTCAGGTACACGGGAAGGCAGTTCTTCTAATTCCGCAGAAAAGGAATTAACAACTACTAATAATAATAATCAGAAAAAATCAGTACGCATTATCTAAAGAGCAACAGCACATACGGGAACAGTGTCATCAATAACAACAAAATAACTTACTGGACGTTTTACAGGACCATTAATCGGCACGAAAGGATGTGTGACTACAGGGGGGAACTCGGTCATCAGCTCGTTCCATCGATCGTGTAGCTTACGCCGAATAGTTCGAGCGGCGTACTCCAGTTTATCAGATGCGTACCACACGGGGACCACATTGTGCGCATCAACCTGCCCGAGGGGAACAAAGATAAATGAGGGATTGAGCTCAAACTCACAGATTCAAACCCTGAAACCACGTGAAATTTAGTGGAAGACAGCCTAACTACGGCCCGCGTAGATATCACCTCGACATTATTGGAGGCTTGAGCACAGTCACAGTTTTGTTAGTCTCAGGGCTGATGTGGCCGGAACCCGAACAGTTGGTCCGCGTGACAATGTTGGACCAATTTTGGTGATGTTCGTCACACTATGGTATGCAGTGGGACGAATGATTGCGGGTTGCATAGAAACGTCCGGTGAGTGGGAACATTATTCAAAGTGGATCATATATGCACTTGCTTCAGTCAAATATTCAAAACAGTCACTCCTTTTTTTGATCTAAAGCAAACTGGATGGACCAATCGTTGCGAGGACCTACTTGCTTTTCAGTGACGGCTACGTAACCCCCGGGACTTCGAGTGGCGAACCACATAAGGTTGGGCTATGTAAGACGAGGTATTAAACTGATTCAACCGGTGGAGGGGTTCGAACCTCGAACCGTAGAGACCGAAACACGCAGGTAACAACCACTAAACCGCTACCACCATCCCATGGTTCAGCACAATAATACACGACAGGAACTATGGAGCGGTTCATTGGACATCTATCGACACCGAGCATTCATTTCAGACAGATAAGAAACATGTTCGATTGCAATTTGATACACACAGTACACGGTGGCCAAAATCGAACTACACTATAACCTTGATTGTGATTTTGAGATTATGACTATTATTAGGGTCATTATTAAGTTATGACATTGCCTGAATTAGTGTGACATATGCAATATGCACAAACTGATAGGTTATCATATACTACTGACAAGTCTTGGGACCGCCGCACCCGCTTTTTTTCAATTTTCACACACGACTGAGTTCAGACAGTGTGCGAAACCAACCAGTACAATAACCTTTGTAAAAAATGAAATAAGTTCCATGATTGGTTTGTGGGCATAATAACGCCAGGTCTCGCAGGCCAAGGCAGATGAATTCTCTTGAGGAATTCATAAACGGAGCCTTCGGCTAGCCACAGCCTGACCCGCAAGGCAGCGGGGTGGTGTGTGAAAACTGCAATCCATTGGAGAAGTCCAGTTCATCGGATCATTCACCCTTTGGACAGGGTCAAACGTCCAAGTTGCCTAATACACCTCGATGTCCAATCGAGCCGATGGCCGGGACGGCGTGTGTGCTGTTTTTATGCCTCTTCTTTGTTGGTTTGGAATCAAGGTTTTTAGTCAAATCCGCTAGGTGAATCACCAGTGGCACACCGACCCGGGATATTAGCTGCTGTGTTCGATGAGACAGCAGCTGATAGAAAGTGCATCACGGGAACGCCTGACAGTGGTCTGTATCCGTGTGGCATCAGCTGCACACTTACGCGTTCCCGGGGTCTGAGCATCTGCACTGTGGGTGCGCGGGTTATAATTTTAAATTCGTCGAGTCTTGTGGCAACAGATCGGCGGAACAGGTTTGCATCAAGAGTAGCGTGAAACCACTAATGTGTGTGTGTGTGTGTGATAAGCCGAATAGGCTAACCATTGGAATGCAGTCACTGTGCTACGGCAGCGACAACCGATGCGCCCAAAGTGCGCGACCCGGCCGATCATCAACAGTTGAACATCACATGACAAAGAAATAAATCACTTCACGGCTGGAATTATGGTCCAGCCAGCACGAATCATTGAGTAGCAGAGTGCACCACACTGAAACACGTGGCCACGGGGTCGAAAATGATATAATCAGGGAACACATCAACTAGACGAAACACATTTGCTGGATAGTTGTGATCCACAGGTTACTGGAAGAATTACCCAAATTGATGCAAACCGATTCAATGAGGCGAGTCTCTCTGGTTCGACCGAACGTCACATAGACTGACTCACAGGTTGAGTCGCACAGAAAAATCCGCAATGATGCTACCTAATTGTGCACTGAGCATTACTCCGACGTCGAAAGTTAAAGGATGGTATGGTGGTATAAACCAGCAGGATTTTGACTGTTTTTTTTTTCAAGTGACCCGCTCCGGGATCTCGCAATCCAGACAACGGTTTCACTCAGATCTATTGAGCAATTGTGACTACTGTGTTCGGGCACATAAGTCTAGTAATAGGCCTCAAAATAGCTTCTTCTTTGTTCTATATCCATCCCGCATAATGTGTAGAGTTTCAGATGACTGATTATAATTGTTAGACGATCGAACAAGTATGGACACTACAGATCAGGTCGACAAAATATCAAATGATTAGGTGACCACAACTGCATAACCATTTCAGGCGTACTGACAAAACACCGAACTCAGTACTATAGCCATCCTGATAGGAACTTACACTGTTGGGCTCTCTCTTTAGCTCTCTCAATTAGAAAGCTTGTGTTGCAGGCCGACGGGCGAGATCTCATTACCGTATGATGATGATGATGATAAGAAAAACATCAAGATATATATATATATATACATATATATAATGAAATTTGTAAGCATCAATCTTTAGGGATAAGGCGCCAAAATAGCCATGGGTTGAACGCGAAATATAGAAACCAAAAAGGGAGGAAACAAGAACAGTCAACATCGAGGGTAAAATTTTCTTGCTTGCACATGCCATTTTTGTTTGTTTGCTTGTTTCACTCTTGAGATCTCACAAAGGACAGGGTGAATTCACGCCACTGATTTCGGTTCGATACTATTTCCCGCAGTGTCTCCAAGCCAAAGATCATCCGAATCTCTGAGGCCCCCAGCTGGGAAGCCAGATGCGAGCACAATCTCTCGAACGTTGCAGGCCACTTCATAGTCTGTCCACCTCAGTATGTCTTCCAGCCCGGACCAATGTCTGCAAATAGCCCAGGGAATAGCGGACGTTGTTCAGGCATTCGTAGGACAGGCCGCAGCCACCTGAGACGATGCAGTGAAATGGTTCAGTTTCTTTCCTCCCTCCCCCCACCCGAGAAAAAAAGGCCCAATCCCAATCCATTTTACGTTAACTTTGTATGCATTGCGAGTGATCAATGAAACTCGCCTCTCGTTCTAATTGGCCGCACACGGACGGAGCGAGAATCGACCGAATGAGTGTGGGAGCTACTCAATAGTAGCTCGTACCCCATTTATGTAGATTGTAATGTGCACCATATAGTCATATTACTATTCAACACGTAACCAATTACAAAGAACTGGAAAATGTGCCACAACAAATGAACAGAAAGAAATTTGAAGACTGTGTTCATGGGTTGTGTGGCCATGTTACTTTTCGGTTGCCCTGGCCGACGAAAGGAGATAGCCTCGAGGTTCCCATCCGAAGCCGTTGGCTATAAAGTTAGACCAGCAAGACAGCGGAACAGAGCTCAGAGTCCGAAATCCAATGGGGGGCGGTGTCCAGTTCACTGGACCATACGCCGTTTGGACGGGGCAAAATATCCAAGGTGCCCAATACACCTCGATGCCCAATTGAGCCGGTGACCCCTGCCGCCAGGAAGGTAAGCGTGTGTATCTTACGCCTCTTCCGAGTTCCATTCAAGTGAAAGCAAATTTCGTTTCCATTTAACCTATGTGAAAATTGGTCAAATCTTCTATGGGCAAAGCCTCAGTATGGCCGGGAGGGTGTCTGGGGTTGCGGCTGGTTACCCTTCTGTTGCGCCTCGCGAAATGCTCCCATAAGACCCAGCGTCTCGAATAGCCTCCGCTGAGGAAGCCCTACTCACTGCGGCCTTCTCGTGGCGGAGGTGTTTTCCCACCAAAATGAGAAAACGAAAAGCCGATGATCAGGTCGACCGGACCATATACATATATATATATATCCAGCCATAGCAACCCAGAGCAGAAGTGTCAGCGACCGTCGTTTTGGAGACCTATAATAGATTGCATGCAAATGGCATCTGCGACACAGGGGAGAGTGGAGACCGGGTTGACTGACTCCCACCCTCATCCATCCATCCGAGTTCAATTTCTGACACGGGCGCATATCAGGTGTGTCACTCCTATATGAAATTACACAGCCGGAAGATTAGGGCACAACAACTCTTTTGCCTTTGTTACACGAGACTGCCCTCGACTGTGACAATAAAATTGGCACTTATTGTGCCATGTGTGCGTGCCTACTACACACGAATAGGCGGGTCAAGTACCGTCTATTGATCCTTTTTCGGAGCACTGGATTGTTTTCGTGCGATCCTAATTCGAACATGCACACGATTGTGTGTGCGTGTGCCGAAACGTGTTGGGGTCGGTAAAAACACGCATACAGAGTGTGTTGCACTGGAAATGTGTAGCCTACATTTTCATGGAAAGAACAAAAACAGACGGAAATTTGTAAACCGTGATATCGAAGTGCTGAAGTGCTATGCTTAACGCGATGAGTAGTTGAAAGATATTGCAAGTGTTTAATTCTGAATATGAGTCGATGAGTGTCAACTTATATCCATAATTTTACCTCGGTTGTTGTTGGTGGTGGTGGAATCTTTGATTAGCGGACAGAGCTCATTGACGAGGTGTGTGATATTCTCAACAAACTCATACAAATGAGTTCTACTAGATTTCAGTTTCACGCCCAAACGAGCGCCGGGGCCTTGTGGTTCACCACTCCAAGTCCCGCGAGGTTTAGGTTACCGATTTCCATCCCTGAACAACAGGTTCCCGTGACTACGGGGTTCCCACACCACCCCACCCCC